ATTTTACTGAATAGGTCAGGAGCGAGAGATGAGGAAATACAGAATGTAAATGATTGGTTCGAGAAAATTGGGATTGAAGAGAGTGAGATGGAGCAGGCACTTGAGCTGTTCTTTGCTGAGAGATTTGGGCATTGCCTGGTGGAAAGAAGCCAATGCAGAGGAAGACAATGAAGCTAACTAAGATTCACTGAGGTCCCAGGAAATGAGGAGTGGGATCATATGCCTGAGGAAAGGATACTCAGGGAGGAACATGTTTTCCTGAGGAGCAGCAGTAAAGGCAGGTTAAGGCTACTAAGATATTTGGTGGTAATGATAGGAGAACATAAAAGAGTTTTCAGTGGACTATCTTGCTCTTCTAGATAATTCTCACTAGAATTAAAGAAGCCAAGATGAACTTGAAAGTTTGGGGAAAATAACAAGACCTTCCTGTAGAATTCAGGAAAGGGGCCCAGTAGGGGTGAATATGTTGGAATCAGCTAGGGTTGGAATAGAAATTTCAACATTCATAATTTGAAATGACAACAATAAGCTTCTGTTCCAACTCAGCAGATCACAATGCTGACACCGTTTGGTTGGATTAACCTAGGGTTGGATATTGCTGTGGTGGGGAGGGTATAAGATGGGCCACTATTAGGTCAGAACTGCCTAGGCTGAGGACAGGAGTGGAAGTGAGGAATGACTTGGTATATACCAGAGCAAGTTCCCAATGTCATTAATGAATGATGAAACATGTCCTGGGAAACTGATGGTAATGGCAACAAGAATGAGACATAGGTGCTATAACTGGCCTCATCTCTGAGGGAGGAGGGGTGCTGGAAGGGGTATCATTGAGCAGTGGCTCCAAATAGCAACAGGAGAACAAAAAGAATGCCAAGCTGACTGTGATGAAAATAGGCCAAACAACACAGACATATTGGTGTATATATAGATGTAAGTAGTTGGTGACGGGGTCTTCATAGTCCATGCACATTTGAGGCTCATTCATAGCTTCTCTCCCCTATTTATTGAACAAGTGAGTTCTAGGCTTCTGTTATCTGGGTCCATCCATGAAGAAGTCAGGCTAAGTATGAAGGGCTGAACATTTATTCAATTAGCAAATACTGACTGAAGGTACCGGGTTCTAGGCATTGTCTGAAGATTTAAGGAGGAAAAAGGTAATGATCTTGCCTTTAGGAAGCTTATGGTTGAATCTTGGGCACGTGTATATTTACTGAAGATTCACAAAGATTTTTATAAGAAGAAACTTGAACTTCCCATCATTAATTCTCCTTCTCACTATATATGTGGTGCTGGAGATTGACAGAGGTGTTGGGAGACTGCTAGCAAAGAAAGTCTGACTGTGTTAGTAAAATTTTGGAATTAAGAAAGCATTTTCTAAAAACAGAATTTTGGGGCACCTGGGTGACTCAGTGGGTTAAGCGTCCAATTTCGGCTTAGGTCATATCTCATGGTTCCTGAGTTTGAGCCCTGCATCAGGCTCTGTGCTGACAGCTCAGAGCCTGGAACCTGTTTCGGATTCTGTGTCTCCCTCTCTCTCTGCACCTTCGCACTCATGCTCTCTCTCCCTCTCTCTCTCTCAAAAATAAATAAACTTAAATTAAAAAATAAATAAAATAATAAAAAGAATTTTACTTTCAAGTAATATAGTATGGAACTTAAGCTTATCATGAATTTCCCAGCAAAGAGTCTGCTTAATTGACATGAGAATGATGTTAATTAGATCTACTAACCACTGTGAATAACACTGCTTACAGGTATGGGTAGGATTTCATGGGTAGCAGGGTAGCCAAGCATTCTGCATATACACGGTATGTCCTGTATTTATTTAATGGTTTGTCCTGCTTCCTGTGTTGGCTTTCTCAGGACACCCTAATGTTCTGTAGCCATTTTTTAAAATAAATTGTAAAAATCCAGCAGTTAAAGGTATTTTTCAAATTGATTTGGGCGTCCTATTTGCTAAATTTTGTGTCTTACTAAGGAATCATTCCATGCCTATAACCTTCCATGCTCTAGCCTGTTTCATGGTGTTTCTGGCAAGGCAACTAGGATTTCCTGTTCCAGGAATTCCCCAACACTGACAGTCTGTCTTTCTGAAATTTTTACCTGCTGCCCCAGGCATCACTCTTGCAGACCATATAGAACAAATTGAATCCCTTTTCCTTAAAGAACTTCAGATATTGAATTTGCTTTGGTGGAGACCACCTCACGTTATAGATTAAGTTTTCTATGAGCCAAAAGCAGTGGTGTGCTAGTAAACTGGATCAAAACCACAGAAAACAAAACCCTGATTTGTGGCTTCTGCTGATTTCTGTGATGAAGATGCTCCTGCCATGACACCATGACCAATTTCACACTGCCAAAGTCAAGAGATTGAACTCAGAGTTGGGAAGGGCTGTGCACATTCCACTCGAGGTTGGTATGTGCTCGCTCCAGCACACCGATCCTTAAGTTTTCATTTTATTAAGATATTTTGCTAATTGGTTTCACTCTGTTAGAATGTTGAATTGATATGGGTGTCCTGAGGAAAAGAATTTTATTAATACTCTACAGGCAGATTTGCGAAGAGGAGGTGACATATTGGCCATGGAGGATAAAGGAGAGGATGGGCTCAAAAATACCCCCAGGTTACCGGGGATTGCTGCCGATCAAGAGAGAGACAGTACATTCAGGGGGGAAAGGTAAGTGATTTATATATCCATTGGGCAAGTGTGTATTGAGCACAAATTCATGTCAGGCACAGGTATTTCTGAGACAGATATAAAACAGAACACAACAGATAAAAACCCTTGCTCTTGTGCAGATGATATTTGATCTTATGAGAATTGGCCCCTTGAAGGAAACCTGTGGGAATCTCATTGGACCCAGAACCTTGTGCTGAGGAAGTCCCCTACCCTTTCCAGCTTCAAGCCACTAAGACATTTGATAAATGGCTTTCTCGTACCTTGCGCCACACCATTAGAAACCTCCATCCAAACTGATTTCAGATGGTGCAATTGTTACCTCTTACAGGTAGCCCTTCCTGACTTTCCTTACTGCCTCCTTCCCTCTGAATCCAGTTAATTCTTGTCCCATAGCAACCTTTGTGGTGGTAAGATACAACCCTTGTTATTCTGTGTAATATGTATCTTTTTGCTTCCCCACTGCTTGTAAAGTTCCCAAGGGTGTTTTCTTGCAAGTTCATTTTAATAGATGAAGCAGAGCCATCCATCAGCTTAGCCTTTTTTCTGAAGTAGTAAAGACCGAACTAAACACATTTCAATGTAGAATATTCATCTAAGCTAATCAAAATCATTTTTACTTTATATTAATATTTTTCCCTCCTGCTACTTTATAATAAAATCCCCAAACAAAAATAGAGCCCCTAAAATCTGTCCTTCAGGAATTTTATTCTAATTACACACACACACACATTTTTCAAAAATCATTTTAAAAGGGATGTTTTTGAACTACCTACTTATGACTTTATTTACTATTTTACAGTTGTCTTATCGCTGGAGGAAAGTTACATGCACAGGGGAGGAAGAGTAATTAGAGAGCAGCCCTGGGGACAAATATTTACTTGGGAAAAAATAATACAAATAAATATGTGAATCAGTGTCTCATGTCAGTCATTCAGTGACTCACTGGGAGAGGGAATGGCTTTGCTCTGGACTCTGGCACCCAGAGGAAACGATCTCTAGAAAACATTTCGTCTTTATCTATAATGGTAACGTAGCTTGGTGTTCTCTAGGCATACTTCATCTGCCACATGGCAAATCTACCGGAGTCTAAAGAGTGCCATTTTTGAACACGCTTTCTTCTTCTATAGTTAGTAGTTTCAGCAGGGCCAGGGAGTTTGCTTAGGTTTTCTGAAGATAATCAGGATCAAAACCTTACACGTTCCTTTTGTCCTCAGAACAGCTATCCCAGCCATGCTTTCAACATTCCGGTAAGTTTTGATCTTGAAGGTATGCAGGAACATTCTTACATTTCTAATTTTGTTCCAGTTTGATACATGTCAGCATACTTCCTCTCCCAAACCAACTCCACGTTCAACATGTCTTACCATCTTCCAAGTGGTTTCTTCCAAGAGAAACCACTCATGCAGGGCACTCATCTCTGATGGGTTGTGCCTAGATATTGTGCTCTCACCAAATTACTTATTTGCTATGATGTCTGCTCTCCAAGAGCTGCCATATACATTATATACAGCAAGGTTTTCTGGCAAGTTTGCTTTTGGTTTCTTCAAAAGTAACATGGATTTTCCAGGGCTAAAGGATATAAAGAGGTGTTTATTTTTCAGCTTTTCTACCCAATATATTTTAACATAAATATAAAAAGATAGTACCAGTGTCCCGGTGTAGATAGATGATTTCTCTGGATCATTCCACTGTATCCTTTTCTCTGCCTCTCCTTGTGAGAAGGCCGGAACTAACAGGTAAACTGGTCTTTTGCCCATTTACCTAGGATGAACTTCTTCCCTTCCTTGCTCTCACCCTAGATTGGGGATTTTGTTTGAAATCTGTTCTACTTTAGACACTTAAAGAACAATCTCATTTAATCCTGCTCAAATGAAATCTGGAAGTCCATAAAAAAGCAAAAGGTTCTCTGTGGCCAGTTCATGGCAACCCCAAGAACTTTGATCTAAATTTTGCCCCTGATTATATTTTGATGTCATGCTTTTTTCCATAAACACTGAAAAAACCATGTCAAGGTTTAGGCAAGTGGGGGCAGGGCCTCGTGGAGAGATCGGAGTTGCCTGAAGTTGGGGGGGGTCCCTGAAACATACAATTATCACCTCAAACCTATTTCCCTCAAAGCTGGGGGTGGTGGCGAGTAATATTCTCAAAGCACCATCTGTCTGGAGAAAGGGTATTCTTTTTTTTTTTTTTTTTTTTTTTTACAAATAGTTTATTGTCAAGTTGGTTTCCATATAACACCCAGTGCTCATCCCCACAATGGAGAAAGGGTATTCTGCCTTCTTTGCATGTACACTAATCTACAACATGTTCAGTAAGTACCTGGGTTGCTGCTTGTGGTCATACACTCCGTGGACCAGTCTTGGGGGATCACAGGGGCAACCAGCTCAGCAAACTTGGCCAGAGGACAGCTGGGAGTGCAGCCTGGCAGTGTGAGCGGATATGGCTCATGCCGCGTGTCATTCCGATAGTACATCTCTACGAAGTACTCCCTGGTGGAAGAATGTAGACGAGAGAGCTGTTAGATCTGTGTTGTTGAACTGCCATTGAATATCTTCCCACCTGGCCTGTAACATGTCAGCTGTAGGACTAGGGGAAGAATATACAGAAATGAGTAGACATGAGCTAACTGAGGTGTGGGAATAGGGAGATTGGGGCCAGTGGGCCAGATTCAGAGGGTAGAAATGGGAGGGCTGGGTTGTTAGATAACCAAGGGCAAAGGATGTAGGGACCAGGAAGCATAATCAGAGAGGGTGCTGTCAGGTGGTATTTGGGGGAGTTGGGGGTGATTTGATGAGTCTTTGAGTAAGAAGTGGGGGGCAGGTGGGGTGTTGGCTTTTTTTTCTCCTGTTCTCTCTCCTTTATGATTCCCATTTGCTTCATTCTTTTCCTCTCTCAGTATTTCTTGTAGGCTTTCCCTTGAATGAAGGTATCTCTCTTCTCCTTAGCCAGGCAATAACTTGGAAACATATGTGCTTAAATATACATCAATTTATCAAAATTACATCTCAGAAAGAGGGTGTGAGTATATCACTAAATAATTTATACTCCCTCATACTCAATACTTTCTTTGAAAAAACAAGGTGTTGTTTCTGGAAAAACCACTGGCCTATGCCAACCTTGTAAAACTCATATGAGGGGCTTATGGAAGTCTTTTACCAAACATGCAAGAGAGAAATTCAAGTAGGATTTAGTGATCATTCTTGGGGTAGTAATGTCACAACTGCCATTGTTGGGTGTTGTTATAAACAAGCCTTTAAAACATCATTTTGAAAGCCACATAAACAGTAGTAACCACAAATATTCACTTAGAGAAGTGTTTTTTAAAACTCCCCTAATGTCATGTGAATGAGTGCTTATACCCTGGGATAACTTTTCCAGTGACAGCATCTTTTATCTCAAGATAATATGGCAGAGATAACTAATAGTTGATCAAAATTCACGATTCTCTTTCCATTGAACAGAGTTATGGCTGAAAATGGACTACATTACCCAGACTCCCTTGCACCTAGGTGGGGCCAAGTGACTATAGGTATTCCTTGGAGATGTCGTGGGTTTAGTTTCAGACTACTGCGAGAAAGCAAATATCACAATACAGTGAGTCAATTGATTTATTTGGTTTCCTAGTGCATGTAAAAGTCATATTTACACTATATGGTAGTCTACTAAGTGTGTAACAGCATATGTCTAAAAAATGTATGTAACCTAATTAAAAATACTTTATTGCTAAAAATGCTAACCATCATCTGAGCTTTCAATGAATTGTAACCTTTTTGCAGGTGGAGGGTCATGCCTCTGTACTGGTGACTGCTGACTGCCGGGTGGTGGTTGCTGAAGGTAGGGTGACTGTGGCAAGTTTTAAAAATAAGTTTTAAAAATGTGAAGTTTGCCACATCAGTTAGTTGACTCTTCCTTTCACTAACAATTTCTGTGCAGCATGGGATGCCATTTGTCAGTATTTTACCCACAGAAGAAGTTCCTTCAAAAGTGGAGCCGATCCTCTCTAAACCTGCCACTGCTTTATTAACTAAGCTCACGCGATATTCTAACTCCTTTGTTGTCATTTCAACAGTCTTCACAGCATCTGCAGCAGGAGCAGATTCATCTCAAGAAACCACTTTCTTTGCTCATCCATTCAAATTTTATCATGAGATTGCAGCAGTTCAGTCCCATCTTCAGGTTCCACTTCTAATTCTAGTTCTCTTGCTGTTTCTACCACCTCTGCACTGAAGTCTTAAACTTCTCTAAATCATCCATGAGGGTTTTGGAACCAACTTCTCCCAAACTTCTGTTAATGTTGATATTTTGACTTCTTCCTGTGAATCATGAATGTTCTTCATGGCATCTAGGACAGTGAATGCTTTCAATTTACTTTGCCCCAATCCGTCAGAGAGGAATCACTAGTGTATCTATGGCGGCCGGAGCCTTACAAAATGTGTTTGTCAAATAATAAAATTTGAAAGTCAAAACTGCTCCTTGACCCGTGGGCTGAAGAATGAATGTGTGTTATCAGTCATGAAAACAACAGTAATCTCATTGCATATCTCCATTAGAGCTCTTGGGTGACCAGGTGCATTGTCAAAGAACGGTAATATTTTAAAAGGCTATTTTTTCTGAGCAGTAGGTCTCAAAAGTAGGCTTAAAATATTCAGTAAACCATGTACATTCAGTAAACATTTTTCACAGTTCTTAGGGACCTCAGGATTTCCCAAGTGGTAAATGACCATTGGCTTCAACTTAAAGTCATCAGCTGTGTTAGCCCATAACGAGGGAGTCAGCATGTCCTTCAAAGCTTTGAAGCCAGGCATTGATTCTCTCTAGCTGTGAAAGTCCTAGATGGCCTCTTCTTCCAATAGAAGGTTGGTTCATCTCCACTGCAAATGTGTTGTTTGGGGCAGCCACCTTCATTAATGGTCTCAGCTACATCTTCTGGATCACTTGCTGCAGCTTCTCCATCAGCATTTGCTGCTTCACCTTGTACGTTTATATCATGGAGACGGCTTCTGTCCTTAAACCTCATGAGCCAGCATCTGCTGACCTCCAGCTTTTCCTCTGCAGCTTTCTTCCTCTCTCAGCCCTCATAGAATTGAAGAGAGTTTGGGCTTGCTCTGCATTCACTTTGGCTTAAAGGAATGTTGTGGTTGGTTTGATCTTTAATCAAGACCACTAAGACTTTCTCCACAGAAGCAACAGGCTGTTTTGTTTTCTTATCATTTATGTGTTCACTGGAGCAGTACTTTTCATTTCCTTCAGGAGCTTTTCCTTTTTATTAGCAACTTGGCTACCTGTGTGGTGCCAGAGGTCTAACTTTCGGCCTGGGTCAGCTTTCAACGTTCCTCCCTCACTAAGCTTAATCATTTCTAGTGTTTGATTTAAAGTTTGACACAGGCAGCTCTTCCTTTCACTTGAACACTTAGAGGCTGTTGGAGGATTATTAACTGGCCTGATTTCAATATTGCTGTGTGTCAGAGAGTAGAGAAGCCCGAGGAGAGGGAGAGAGAGAGACTGAGAGAGAGAGAGAAGAAATGGCTGGCTGGTGGAACAGTCAGAACACACGCTATTAAGTTCACTGGCTTATATGCGTGTGGCTCATGGTGCCCCAATACAATTACAATAGTAATATCAAAGATCCTTGATCACAGATCACCAAACAAATATAATAATAGTGAAAATTTTGAAATATAGTGAGGATTATCAAATGTGATACAGAGACACAAAATGAGCAATTGATGCCAAAAAAAATTGCTTGGTACAAGGTTACCACAAACCTTCAATTTGTAAAGCAATGCAATATCTATGAAGCACAATAAAGTAAAGTACAACATAAAGAGGTATGCCTGTCATTTTAGCCAGTAGAATGCAAGCAGAAGTGATAAGTGCCCCTTCCGGGTTGTGGTGGTTGAGAAGCAGGTTGTCTTCTCTACCCTCTCATTTCTATAAGCTGCCTGCAGGTGAGCACAGCACTCTTGAAAACTATCGGTCCAAAAGATGGAAGCCTGGGGGTGTCTGGGTGGCTCAGTCGATTAAGCGTCCCACTTGGGCTCAGGTCATGATCTCACAGTTTGGTTCGTGAATTTGAGTCCTGCGTTGGGCTCTGGGCTGATAGGCTCAGAGCCTGGAGCCTGCTTTGGATTCTGTGTCTACCTCTCTCTCTAGCCCTCTGCCACTTGCACTTTGTCTCTCTGTCTCTCAAAAATAAACAAACATATTTATTAAAAAAATTTAAAAAAACCCCAAAAGATGGAAGCCTGGGTCTCCAAATCATGCCAAGGATGAATCAACTTATATTAGCCAGGGACATCGCTACTGGAGTATTAGATATGTGAGAAAGAAATCTCCATTGGGTAAGGCTCTGAGAACCTGAGGTTCATTTGTACAGCAGCTAAAATTACCCTTATTTGTTAATATATCTGGAAAACAGTCTTTAGGTGACTGAAAGTTGACTCTAGTGGTGAAGACCCAAGTTAAGAAACATACAAAGAGTTTGGATAAAATTGTTTCATGAAATCTGAAAGTGGAATAAAGCAATATCTTTAATTTAGTGAATAATTTTATATTTTACTTTAATTTTATGAGAGAATGTGTGTGGGAGCAAGGGAGCGGTAGAGGGAGAGAGAGAGAGAATCTTGAGCAGGCTCTATGCTCATACAGGCTTAACCCCTCACTAAGGATTTAATCCCTCAGACTTAACCCCTCAAGACCATGAGGTCATGACCTGAACTGAAATCAAGAGTCGGATGCTCAACCAACTGAGCTATCCAGGTGACCGTTTAGTATTTGATTTTAAATTTATGTACCTAACTGAAAATTACACATTTTAAGAAAATATTTAAGCCAATAATAATAAAGTCTGAGATCAAGTGGTATTAGTTGTGGAAAGCACCTTTTAGAGACTTACCCATCCTCAAGATACAATTCCATTAAGTGGCAGGAAGCATAGGGAGGAAGGATTCCATTGTAAATGTCTAGTGCCATCTGCAAGCCAGCCACGGTAGTGTCATGCTGTGGGGATTTGCAACAAATCAGTTTTGATCTTTACCTCTGGTTCAGACGTACATTCCATAGGTAGTTTTAAGCACTTGTAGAGAACCGTGATGGTTTCTGATCCAATTAAATTTGCCACACCCCCAGTGACTCAAGAGGTAGATAGGGGAATAACTAATTTTGGGTGAGCATCTATTGTATGCTAGGCAGTAAGACTTAAATACATATCATTATTTCCATTACAAAGATGAAGAAACAGGCCTAGATAAATTAAATAACTTGCTTAATGTCATACAATGACATATAATGTCATTCCCTGACATGGAAGAAAATAAATTTGAATCAAGTCTTCTGCTTTTGCCCCATGCCTTTTCCCAGCAGAACATCTCTGTTTTAGCTTGTTTCATCGATTTTCATTACATTTTAAAATATTTTGGAACACATTAGTGCTAGATTATGTTTCTTCTACAGATTAGAATAATCTGTGATTTTAAAGTTGGGGAAGAATATCTAAGGTTATAAATATCAGGGAAGACAAACTGTAAGCACATGGAGAGCAGAGCTTAAAAGTAATTGTTAAATGTTTATCCCAGAGGAGCTGGAAGTCACAGGAGACTGGATTCAGTCTTAGCTTTGCCACTAATTAACTACACAGTCTTTGAAAGTCCTCAGCTTCTCTATCTACAAATGGGCATAACAGTTTGTTGCCTAAATTATATGTCAGTGTACATATATTAAAAAGGGATTAGAACTGATTTCCTAGAGAAAGAAATAGAATTACAGAATTATGACTTGCCAGAAACCACAAATTAGACCTGGAAAGCAGATGGAAGACTAAAAAATTTGGCAGAATGGACTGGTTTTAGGAAGCCCCTTTCCAGGAAGCACTACACTCTGTTCCATCCATAAGCTCTTTGTCTTACACCATGTAGAACCTCTGATCATAAACAAAGTCCTTGTATCCACAGTCACCTCTTCCATCTTCCTGCAGAATGAAAACATGGCTTTCTCCAGCCAAACCACATGTGAGAAAGTCTCTGTCATGGAGAAGTGGGTGGGAAGCCAAGTCACCATACTGTGTGTTCTGGTTCCCTGATCTTTGCAGACTCGGTCCATGGACAGTCATTTCAGTGCTCAGTGCACCCCGAGAATTCCCACCGCCTACCCCCAACAGTGCCGCTTTCCCTGGCTCCTTCTCCAAGATGAATGTCTTTTCTGAGACCTCTAGTTTTCTTTCTGCATCCGATGTGCCTCTAACTTCATGTTGCAGTCATTTGCCTCTTTCTCTCTCCTATTCCATTTGCCACCTGAAGATTTCTATTTGGATGCTCTCTGCCATTTTAAACCCAATTGTCTAGTCATTCCCCTGCCCCAAGAGCACTTCTATTAATGGGTCCACCTTCCTTTTGATCTTGGAGGGTTGAACGTGGCCTTCACCTGTGGGTTTACCTCCACATCGTTACTCTCTGCACACATCCCATTCATGCTCTGCTTTGGGTTTGGAACAGAAATGATGCTTCCCCTCTCCGGGGCACCAAAGCTTTTGCTTGTACTGCATTTCCATCCTGCTTTGTATGGTATTTATGTCTTCTTGTCAGTTTTAAACTGTAAATTCATGGGCCAGAATTTTGTACTTAATTTTAAAATTTAAAATAAAAAAGCAAAATAAAATTTAAAACTCAACCACTTAGGTGGTCATATATACACATATTCAGGAGATCTGACAAATCAATACTGAACAGTTTCAACAGCTGTCTACCATCTGCTGGGCATTAGGGACACGATGATGAAGAAAATGAGGCTCCCTCCTTAAAGAGATCACTTACTGAACAAATGGATATTGATTGGAGATGAAAATACTTACTGCAGAATACATGACAAGTTTTCTGTGGTTCGATGGCTGAGTTGCATTCTTCATGTGATTGAGGAGTTCACTGACCAGGACACCTTAAAGATAGATCAAAAAGGAGCTGAACCAAACATGGGCTTACACTTTAGTTCCTAAACTTTGTGTTGATTCCTACTTAGTGATTTTCTCTGCCATGATTCTCAAGACTTGAGAGGAAAAGAACTCACTTTGGTGGAGCATCTATTGTGCTTTAAATACAATATTTTACTGAACCTGACTTCTATCCCCCAGTTATGCTGAGGAAGCTGAGGCCCAGAGACATACAGCGACTCATATACAGAGCTGGATTGGCATGGGTCCCTAGCATCCATCCCCAGGTTTTGTTAAAGCTTGAGACAAGAGGTTGAGGAACTTGGAATTGGAAATGGCATTTTTCAGACAGTTGTTAGCAGGTGCTCTTCTTCGGGGCAGCCCTGACGTGATAGCCTGGCACCTACTCTTGTCTCACCCCTCTTGCTTCTGTTCTCTGTTGATCAAACCTGTGGGAGACCATGAGAGAAAGCAGCTCCCTGGATGTCTGTACAGGTCATGGGCTGTTTTCTGCGGCCCATTGCTCCATGGTACCCTGGGTATCACTATTAGGGGGCAACCAGCATCTTTCATCTGAGGAATCCATCTGTCTTCAGTAGACGAGAGCTCTTGCCCTTCATGGTTGTTGCTCCTGAGGTGGTGAAGGGTGGTACACAACTCAGAGTTTTCGTGCCCTTGGCGGACACTGAAGGCTGAGGGCTACTTTGCAGTGACAGGCACTGTCTTGAGGACATATTGTCCCAGGAACTTCCACAACCATCACCTGAAGACTCCTTGTACCTCTGTTTGGTGGTTTCTTTACTATATGTGTCCTCTCCTGGCTTCAGAGTGACCAGTTCATTTTTGTAAAGGGCAGGGCATTGATGTTAACAGACTGATGGTCATTCCAGACTCTGGTCCACTCAGCAAACACACACTGAGTCACTACCATGGGCCAGACACCATGCTAGGTGAAGCAGACTCCTGTCTTCAAAAAGCTCATAAAATAGTACAAAGAGACTGTTTATTCATCTGTATGCCAAGAGGCACAATAAAGGGCTAATTACATAGGGAAGTGGTCTGTTCTCTCTGTAGATGCTGGGACTCCATTGACTGGGAATGGAAGAAGCTAGATGCTGCTTCTCCAACAGGTCTACATCACTCTGCTTCAGAGAAGGTTGCCTTCTCAGAGTCCTTTAGGGACAAGGCCATTACCTACCAGCAACTTGCTATGCAGTAGGTGTCTTTGCAGCAGCCTTCAGTGCTGATAATGGGATATGATATCAGCTCTTGGTTCTGAGGTGACTGTCTGCCTTGCCCCCAGAAGAAACTAGGGGTAACTACCATAGTTATCCCTGGGTTCTGACATGCCAATTATTGCACTTTATAGGAGGGGAAACTGAGGTTCAGAGATACTCAGCCACTTGTCCAAGATTCTACAACTTGTGCACAGCGGGGCTGAACTTCTCTGAACGCAGCATGTCTTAGTTACTAGACTACACTGCAGCATACACTAGCTTCTCCGTTCACTGTTGCATCATTTATTGACTGCATCAACCAGACAAAATATCACTGACTGGAAGACATAAACTTGCCTTCCCACACTCTTAAGCTACAGCAGGGGCTGGCAAACTTTTTCTGCAAAGGACCAGACAGTGTACCATATGGTCTGCCATAACTCTTCACTCTTGGGTGGAAGCCCAAAGCAGCCACAGTACTACCTAAATGAATGAGAGTGGCTGAGTGTCAATAACATTTTATTTATAAAAAATAGGTAGCAGGCTAGATTTGGCTTGCAGGCTGTAGTTTACTAACCTGTGGTGTACAGCAAGAAGAGGTTTACATTAATACAGATGTGACCAGCCATATATTCCCAAATGAACCTTAGGGATTTTCCTGGTGTGTGTATGGGGGGGGGGGGGGGGGTGTAGCAGAAGGTGGGTGGGGTGTGCATATTACCAAATTGTGTCATCCCTAAAACCAACTGATAGCACAAAAGTTTTGGCAAAGATAGGAAGATGCCAGTCAAAGTCCTGATGTTCCTGTGTGACTCATCACCCAGACAATACATGTTTTTTCTATAGGATTGTATTCAGTTGCTTCATCATTCAACGAGCATGTAGTTGGCAAATCTCTCTTGCCTAGCCAGATCCAAACAGTATGCTGAACTTGGGTTTTGGCAGGAATCACTCAGGAAACAATTCCCTGGTTTATCAATACAGTGGACTTCTCCAGAAAACAGGGTAGGTGCGTTCACGCAGAAACCAGCCTCTAGAGTCTAAGACTGAAAGAACACCTTAAGGAAAGACTCACAGACAGAATCTAGATGGGAAAATCTAGATTCCCCATCAGATGGGGAAACTGACCAAGCAGGGAAGTTATTTCCCTGAATGCATCTCTAGTAGTCAAAGGAAAAAAGAAGAGGAAAAAAATAAACATTTTTAAATTCCTATACAGAGTTCTACATCTATTATTAGACTATTCTCAACTTCTTCCTGGCTTTCCCGGCCCATTTCTTCACCCTTTTTACATCTAGAGTAGTGCTTCTGAACTTTCATGTTTCATCAGGTACCTCGGGATTTCATTAAAATGCAGATTCTGAATCATCTGGTCTGGGGTGGGGCCTGAAATTCTGCATTTCTAACCAGAGGCTTGGTGAGGCTGAGGCACTGCTCCATGGACTGCATTCTGAGTAGTGAGGACGGAATTCCTCAGCCCGTCATGACTAGGTTGAGGGAACCCAATCAAGAATCCTGTCTCTACCATCTGATGCGGCTTAGGATGGAGTCATACCTCTAGCACCTGGTGGTTGAGGAATAAGACCTGGTGTATGTGTAGCCACTGAGGCCCAACTTCCACCCTCTGCCTCATTTCTTGTTTAGCACATCAGATAGGGCTGCTGCTTGAGCTCTGTCCCTACACCCAGCCCTGAGTGAACACCTGTCCAGTCTGGGCCAACAACCAGGACGTTTTGCCTCTAATACATAGAAGGCAAAGCTCTGCTGAACTTGTCCTGACCCCACAGCGAACCACAGTGAATAGGGCCTGGCAATGGCTGGAGTCTTGATGTGATTGCCCTGTTTTTCTCAAACTCTCTAGAGTATATGACTTGGAACATCTCCCGTGGCTTAGAATTTCTTCACTGTTATGTCAACCTCCAAAATGGGCTTTCTCTCACTCTCCATCCTTACTTTTAAGTTTCTTTATTTTGAGAGACAGACAGAGACAGAGAGAGAGAGAGAGAGAGCAATAGAGAGAGAGAACAAGCAGAGGAGGAGCAGAGAGAAGGAGAGACTGAATCCCAAGCAGATTCTGCACTATCAGTGCAGAGCGAGACATGGGGCTTGAACTCACAAAATGTGAGTTCAAGAATCAGACGCTTAATAGACTGCATCACTCAGGTGCCCCTCTCCATCCTTACTTTTAATGCCTATATTAACATCTGATCCTGATGCCTCCTCTGGTACCTTGGCTTAGCCACCCAACTGTCCTTAGAGGCATCGCATCTATCTCCATCCTGCTTGGTCCTAGCTTCTTTCTTCCACACATCTATCCTGATTATAAGGGCTTGGCATCTTCTTGCCTGGGCCTTCCTTTGTTATGATAGGATGTCCTACGCAAAGAAGGGCCAAATCCAGCTGGAAGGAGGCATTGTTGAGAAATAAACACTTTTACCACCAATGGAAATATTTAAGCTGTGTCATAAACCTGTCAGTTGTAATATATATTAAAATCCAGAACATAATTAGCTTGAAAAATATGTTTTGTTAACTTAAACAGTGATGCCACCAAGAATTTTGGGAAAATGGACCCCTTTTGTCACACTTCCCACTTGAAAAATTCATATGATAGGCCGCCTGACACAAATGCTTTTCGTGGAGCTCTACTGCAAATTTGTTGGGGTGCCTGGGTGGCTCAGTTGGTTAAGCCTCTGACTTCAGCTCTGGTCATGATCTCATGATTCTTGAGTTTGAGCCCTGCATCAGGCTCTGTGCTGACAGCTGGAGCCTGAAGCCTGGTTCCGATACTGTGTCTCCCTCTCTCTCTGTCCCTCCCCTGCTTGGGCTCTTTCTCTCTCAAAAATAAACAACGTTAAAAAAAAAACACACACACACACACAACAAAATCCTTAACTGTTTGATCTGGAAAGGATGAAAAGTATCATTTCGTTTTAGCCCAAAGCTTCTATTTTCCAGATGGGAAAACTTAAGGCCCAGAGTGGGTAATGTTAATGACTAAAAACACATGTTTATTGACAGTGTCTTATGTACCAGGTACTATTTGTTCTAAGCTTTTTAAATACATGTGTTTATTTTCATCCTGTGAAATGGGTATCATTATTATCCCCATTTTGCACAATGGAAATTAGTGCAGAAGTGATTAAGTGACATCTAAGATCACACAGCCAATGAATGGTGGATGGCACTCAGAGCCAGATTGCTCAACCACAAATCCAATACGCTCCTTTCACTTTCTTATATACTTACCCCCCTGCAGTCTAGATTTCTCTTTCTGCTTGTGAATTCCATAGACAGACAGGATGCATAACTCTGATAATTCTTTCAACTTAGTCATGATGTCCTCTGTGGCCCAGGAGGGTAAAGTGAAATTGTGAACACTCTGTAGCAGAGAAAAAGATAAGAAAATGTGTATTTTTATTTGTTAACTTTTTTATCCTCTTTCCCCCACAAGAACTTCTGGGTCTAGGCTTTCTTGTCCTGCCATTTGCTTCTAGGAAAACTTTCCTTTGTGACAAGTAGTGGTATTGATTTTCAGAAGAAAAATTCACGAGACTAATTTGCCCCTTCCTACCAAGCCCATAGCTTTTGGCTTAACTGTGGGTCCAAAGGATGATTCATATTTTGCAAAGTAAGGGTGAGGTAGGGCAAAAATGTACCTCATTCCTTTATGAAAGGTTTAGAAGTCTATTAACCTCTGGGGAAGGTGATGTTGACAGGGTTAGATGATGTTTCCCTCAAAGACAAATGAAGGCCCTGAGAGGACAGCTGGGAGAGGCAATATATATCTGGAACCAGAAATACCAGACCCCCACTCCCATTAGCTCAGGTTCACTGACTCCTGGGGAAAGTACACCATGTGAAAATTTTTACATCGATGAACAAGCTGTATAACATGATGGGTAAAGGCTTTGTGCCAACATGTATTACTTGCTATGAAAAATTGATTAAGACTCCCCCAAATTCGAAACAGGATGGGGAGGAAGGGAGAGAGAGAGAGAGAGAGAGAGAGAGAGAGAGAGAGAGAGATCGTTCTTGAAAGAGGAGATCAAAGGGGTGCCTGGGTGGCTCAGTCGCTTAAGCGTCTGACTTCAGCTCAGGTCATGATCTCACAGTCTGTGAGTTCGAGCCCCACATCAGGCTCTGTGCTGACAGCTCAGAACTTGGAGCCTGCTTCGGATTCTGTGTCTCCCTGTCTCTCTCTGCCCCTCCCTCACTCATGCTCTATCTCTCTCTGTCTCAAAAATGAATAAACATTAAAAAAAAAAAAAGAACGAGGAGATCAAAATATAGTGGCCCAGAGAGGAAATAAGTGGGAGAAAGGAGAAAAGGAAACCATGTGCCACAGCTACATGATGGAACAGCTCAGATCAACCCATAGTAAGGAAGAAAGAAAAAAATCAAGACTTGTACCAAATGTGGGCTCTTGTCTGCACTGAAGAGCCCTTTGTAAGGCTAACAAATCTTCTTTGAAACATGCTAATGATAAAGTGAAAATATTGGGAGTCGTGTGTACTTTTAGGCAATGAACTCTAACTTGGAAGAGGGCAGACTGTGTCATTTGTTACTAATACAGAACTATAAAAGTAACTGCTGTCCCCAGACACTCATGATGGCCTCAAGATCACAGGTGGTTGTAAGTCGTGTGGGTGGTCAGAATTTTGCCCAGGATTCAGTGAGTATGGTAAGGAAAAACAGGATTATAGAATACTCCTTTGGGCCAGTAGGTGGTGCAAAGTGAGTGAAAAATACCATGTAGGCTTGAAAACCTCAAAGGTAATTGATCCAGCTACAGAGTTTATTTCATATGCATTGTACTGCAAGAAAGAGAATCCCAAGAAACCAATTTCAATAGCCTGGCTTCAAGTTGGCTTGCTTATTTCTATATCCAGAAATGAGGTCCTTTTTTTTTTTTCTCTGTCGATTCAGTAACATTGCTTCTTTCATTAAAATCCATGACAGGAGCCCAGCATTCCTGAGTGACTGAAAAATAAGTACATGGCAAGGCATAGAAGAAAAGCAATTTTACTGCAATTTTCTAAAGGGTGAAAACATAAATAATGGAGAGAAAAAGTAAGAATTTTTAAGTTCATATAAAGAAGTCTTGAATTATGATTCAATGTCAAAGGAAGCATAAGTAATATATCTGCCAAAAAGTGAAAGAAAATGTATTCATCTGTTTCAAAATAGGCATGGGTCATAAATCAGATTAATCTTTGATGAATTAATTAATCTTTGATTAATGCAGGTTAATCTTTGATAATTTTTCCTTTACCTCACAAAATAAAGGGTCGTAGACTTTACTCCACATTCCAAAAAGGTCACGGGTATGGTATCCTGTAAATGTTGGCAAGGTTTCTATAAAATCCTGAAACATACACAGAGGGAGAAAACATTTCTACATTAGAGACTCTTAATTTCAGCATTATTGATATTTAGGGTTAGACAGCGTTGTTGTGGGGAGTGCCCCATGTTTTGAAGGACATTTAGCTGTCTCCCTGGCCTCTGCCCACCAGATGAATAGCATCATCCCTGATCCCTCAGCTGTGACAACCCAAAGTGTCTCTTTTATTTATTTATTTATTTATTTTAATTTTTATTCATTTCTAGGACAGAGAGAGAGAGACAGCGTGAGCAGAGGAGGGTCAGAGAGAGAGAGAGACACAGAATCCGAAACAGGCTCCAGGCTCTGAGCTGGCAGTCAGCACACAGCCCGACGCGGGGCCCGAACCCACGAACCGCGAGATCATGACCTAAGTGAAAGTCGGACACTTAACCGACCATGCCACCCAGGCGCCCCCAAAGTGTCTCTTAACATTCCCAATGTTCCCTGTTGGGCAAATCTGTCCCATTGAGAACCGTGCTCTTCTTCACATGGAAGTGGACTGGGAATATTGGCTGTGGTAATACAAACCCAAAGAATTTTACAAACACTAATTACTTTAATGATTACATTAAGACGTGGGCAAATGCTGGCTTACTGCCACGTGTTCCTGGTTTGTCTTGGAAGCAGGCCAAGTGTACTACCTCAAATGTTTTTTTGGAAATAGATCAAGTATAACTTACATATAAATGACTGGTCAAGGTGAGAAGGCAAAGCAGGTGTTGGGCCAACACACCTCGGGAATATATAATGGAAACTGGACTCGATATCTGGCTATCAATGGGAAATTTGGGAGGGATGCACACATTTCTCTAGATTCTGTATTATTCTTGTCCTGTCATGATCATGACACCCAGTGTTCAGCTACCTTCCTGGTGAATTTGGCAGCAATTTCTGGGAATCCTTTCAAAAGATATTGTTTGATGCATAAATTTTCTAGGAAAATATAATTTGCCAATATTAACCCAAATATTCTTAAAGTAAGTTAATTATTAAGATCCTCCCTATAAACCAAACCAAATCAAACCAAATAACAGCTCTGGGGCCTGATAACTTTATTGAGAATTCTATGAAGATTTTCAAGAGTAAGTTATCCTAATGCTATTTTAACTGTTATAGAGTATAGGAAAAGAAAAAAAAAGAAAACTTCCAAAACATTTTTCTGAACTAAGTGCAACACTGACACTTACAAATGACTGGACAGAAGTCTATAGTCCAATGGTACTTTGACTATGAATGCAAAGGTCTAAGTAACATATTAATAAATAATTCAATATCCAAAGAAATGGTCTTGATTCTAGACACATAAAGATGACTCAATAGTGCAAATCTATGAAAATAATTAATCTTAGCAATTGATCCAAGGAGAAAAATAACTCGATTATATTTAATAATGCTAAAAAGACTTTTCAAAAAACTAAACATCACTATTGGTTAAAAAACAATTAAGAAAATAGGAAAGATAGCTACTTCCTTAACTTGATACAAATATCTTTATTTGGTCCTAAAGCCAACTTGCTTAATAGAAAGACACTTCTGAGATAAAAAATAAGACAAGGATGTCTCCTGCCAATACTATTATGTCATACTGTACTGTAAGTATTGGCCAGTGTGAATATGCAAAAGAAATCAGATGTATAAATATTGGAAAAATAGAGGTAAGCCATATTTATTTGCAGATGTTATAAGCCTGGAGTAAACTTAACAATAAATGTAAAGACTTATATGAAGAAAACCTTAAAAATTCCTTAAAGATAAGGGGCATCTGGGTGACTCAGTTGGTTAAGCGTCCAACTCTTGATTGTGGCTCACGTCATGATTTCACGGGTACGTGAGTTCAATCTGTGCGTCAGGCTCCTCATGCTGTCAGTGCAGAGCCTGCTTGGGATTCTTTCTCTCTCATCTCTGCCCCTCCCATGCATGCTCTCTCTCTCTCAAAATAAATAAATAAACTTGAAAAAAAATTCTTGAAAATAAGAACAAATAGAAAAATGTATCATATTCTTAGAAAGGAAGACTCATATCTTAGAATTCCAAATTGTCTGAGCAAATATATACATTTAATCTGATTCCAATAAAAACACTAAAAAGTAAAAAAACTGTGATTCTGGAACTCAGACAAGCAGACTCTAAAGTTCACAAAGAAAATAAAAACACAGTCATGAAAAATCAGAAAAGTATAGAATGAAAGGTAACAAGTCTTTTAGATATTAAAGTGTGTATACATGTTACTAAGTATAACAGCATAGTTTTTGCTAATAAAATGTAAACATAATTGAATAAAAATTTCAGCTACAGCCCACATACATTGGGGAATTTTAATATATATAATAGGAAAAAGGTGGGAAAAAGAGGTACTATTAAATAAATAGTGACAGGGTAACTAGGGAGATACAGGAAAACAAGCAGGATACAAATTTCGCAGCAAACACCAGCATAAACTATAGGTGAGTACAATATGTAAATGTAAACATAAAGATATAATAGAATTAGAAGAAAACATTGAAGGCTTCCTTTATTACCTAGGAGTGGGAAAAGCTTTTTAAAATATGGTTACAAATATACAAACCATATATGAATGGATCAGCACACATAGGACTACGCCATGGCAAAAACACTGTACACAATGTCATAGGAGACAATAGAAATAATGCCATTTATGGCACAGAAAAAAAAGTCAAAATACAGAGCAAAAGCTCCTAAAATTTATAGAAAAGAGAAAACCAATAACTCAAAGGACAAATGGTAAAGGGATATGAAGACAACAGGAAATCCAAAGCTCACTCAGCATAAGAGAAAAGTACTATAGTACCTCGCTCTCTAATCGTGATGGTACTGGGCTTCCTTTTCTTGTTCCAGACTTTATAGGGGATGCTTCTAATGATAACATTTTTTCCACATATATTGGCAAATATCCCCAAAGTTGTTTACACACTGCTGGCAAGGCTATAGAGAAACAGGTAATCTTGTGCATTTTTAAAAAAAATTTTAAATGTTTATTTATATTTTGGGGGGGAAGGGGCAGAGACAGACGGAGACACAGATCTGAAGCAGCCTCCATGCTCTGAGCTGTCAGCACAGAGCCCAACGTGGGGCTAGAACTCACGAACTGTGAGATCATGACCTGAGCCGAAGTCAGATGCTTAACCGACTGAGCCACCCAGGTGCCCCAATCTTGTGCATTGTTGATAGGGGTAGACATTAGTATAATCTTTTGGAGGATTATTTGATAATATTTCCAATTGCCCCAGAATATCTACTTCTGGGATATTATTCCACAGATATTTTAGGGAAATTATTTAGATGCACAAGATATTCATACAGACTGTTTGTAAATGGCTCACTTGTCCATCAATATGAATTGGTTAAAGAAAGTATGGGAGGTCCATACTTTCAAATGCAGTTATTTAAAAAGATGAGGAAACTCTTTATGTACAGATATAGAAGTATTTCTAAGATCTATTGTTAATTGAAAAAAACCCAGTGTCCAACCTTGTGAATATAGTATACCACTTTTGTGTAGCAAAGAGGAAACTACCAGAATATATTCATATTTATTTGCATATGCATAAAGAAACTACAAGACTTCATTAAGAAAATACTGTGAGCAATTACCTGTGGGGTCATTAAGAGACTTTCCACTGTATTTAATGTATCAGAGATTCAAAATATTGTTTCTTCAAAAAAATTTTTTAAATGTTTATTTATTTTTGAGAGAGAGAGACAGAGCATGAGTGGGGGAGGGGCAGAGAGAGGGAGACACAGAATCTGAAGTAGGCTCCAGGTTCTGAGCTGGCAGCACAAAGCCCATCATGGGGCTTGAACCCACAAACCGTGAGATCATGACCTGAACTAAAGTTGGACGCTTAACGGTTGGACAGCCACTCAGGTGCCCCCAAAATATTATCTTTAAAAGTATGAAACATTATATCCATCTTTTGCATAGTCTTATAAAGGAATATTTTGCAAAGTGGAAACATAAAATAAAAAAATGCTATCTTTTACGTATGAAGAGAAATGGTCCCAGCCCCTCAACCTCAATAAGGCAGATCACTTTAGACTTGCAGTTATTCTGACCTAGCTATGCACTTTCGTCTGGTTCCTTCAGACACATGGGCGCAGGATTAGAAAGGGTCTGGCTTCTTTAATAGTTTGTGGTCTCACACAGGGGGAAGGGGACCAGATAGTGATGACAGACCCTCATTAAACATTTTAACCCATTGCTCTAACCAGCCACTGGCACACATAGTCCTCCCACACTTTTAAGAAGCTAGAGTTTCATCCTTTGTCTTTGGCCCTCATACTCCTGTACACCACTCAATAACACCATTTTTAACCTTATAAGGATGCAGCCTCTTCTGGAATTCCTCCGATTTGAGAGTCTCATCCTTAAGTTCTTTATAACGAGGGCAGTCCCCAAAAGGCAGGTACAGCAACTGAGGACAAAAGGAAAATCATAAATTCTTTGTTAGAAGAACTTATGGCTGAAGAAGCGGTAGCCATATTTTAAGCCACATTAGGTACAAAGTGACCTGAATAAAAGATTCAAGTGTGTTTTGAGCTGAATGGAAATTCTAAAATTGAGGAAAAAGAGATAAATGGTCTATAGGTCTTGAAGAGTAGAATATGTACCCAGAACTGAAAAGCTTTTTTTTTTTTTTTCCCTTTCATGAATTCGCCTAAGCAGGACCATTTTGTTGGTAATCACTTCCTGGTGTGACTACCTACCTCTTTCATTTCTAGCATAAATTGCACATGTATGTGCACATGCATTGCCCTCCTCCCCCAACATGCACCTAAGTATAGGGAAATGAATAAGAGGTTCTGGAAAGAATCTTAAGAGACTGATTAGCCCTTTATTGACTTGGAATCTTGCAAATTTGCAGGCTGTTAAAATTAGGGCATATACTAAATTTGTAAAAAAATATATTTGAAAACCCTTTGTGAGGACAAAGGGATGAGTTTAAATTCGACAACCTTTTGTAGTATTAGCTATAACCTACAGGTTAGTGACTCTTCAGCTTATTTTTCATTTGTGTCTCGTCTTGTATTTCCAGCTCTCGGTGGACATCACTACTTGGATGTTTCTTTCTCCTCAAGTTTAGCACGTACAAAACTGAACTCAACTTCATTTTTAACCATTTCACTTTTGTAACCTCTCTAGTTTTACAATGGTAAAATTTATCATCTTATTTCATAGACTATTCAGTTTGTTTACTTACAAAGTATACTCAAAAGAGACCCCTCTTGATCTTGTTCACTGTTCCCTCCCAGTCCAAACCACCATAGCCTGTGTTCCAACCAACACAAGAGCTTCCTATTTGGTCAGTCAGCATCCACTCTCTCTACCTTCACAATTCATTCTCCACACTGCAGTTACCTTAATCCGTTTCACTTATTTATTTATTTATTTAAGTTAATTTATTTTTGAGAGAGACAGAGACAGCATGAGCAGGGGAGGGGCAGAGAGAGAGAGGGAGAGAGAGAGAGAATCCTAAGCAGGCTCTGCAGTGCAGCGCAGAATTCGATGTATGGCTTAAACTCATGAAACCATGAGATCATGACCTGAGCCAAAACCAAGAGTCAGACACTTAACTGGCCGAGCAACCCAGGCATCCCTCACGTTTTATCTTTATAAACACAAATCTTTCCAAAGCGTCAATCAGACCATACCATTCTTTAGTTTATAACCTTCACTGGCTCTCATCATACTTGGAATCAAGTCCCAACTCAGCTAACTTGAGAGATCTCTCTGTCCTGCTTTCCTGCTAATGCCCCCTCACTCACTCCTCTCCAGCAACACTGGGGGCCTCCTTGCTGTTCGCTGAGCTCACAGGTTTGGGGGTGCTGCAGACTATCCCCCGCCTGAGACTGTGCCCCCAGTGACTCTCACCAGACTCTTGTAGCCATTCTTTCTTGCTTTGTTTCCATAGAGGAAGTCATCGCCATTGAAATGACTATTTTTTACTTCTTTATCATCTATTTCCTATAAAATACAAACTCAAGGACAGCCAGGACCTGTCTCTCTTGTTCACTGCTATGTTGGCAATGCCTAGAACAGAGGCTGGCATAGGAGCAGCTACTCAGAAAACATTTTTCCTTAAGAAGTTGCTTCCTGGCTCTATGTCTCATTTGTTCTTACTTTGCTTCCCTTCCTCTACTGTCTTCAGCACCTACTTTCAGACCTTTATTTCCTCATTTCTGAATTGCTTCCCCAGATAGTCTCAGACGTTCCAGTATCCTTTTCCGACCAAGATGCCTCAGAGCACCCCTCATCATGTGTGCACAGTGCCGAAGAATGAATGTGCACAGGTTTTTCTTTATGTCTGCTGCTTTACATCCCCATTTCCCTGCATGACTTTCCAATTTTTCCACAGAATGAATGAAGCTGCAGAGGGAAAAGATATAGGACTGTTCATTTAAAGGCCTGGGTTTCAGTGAAGTCTTCAACCTTCCTAGTCTTTAGTTTCCTCATCCCACATATTGAAGGAGGCTGAAAAAAAGTGAGATAATCACCTAGCCATTTGACTGGTATTTTGCAATTAACAAAATCTCCTTCATGTCTTAACCAACTGGGTTTTCACAAATCGTCAGGAAGTAGGTGGGCGCTATTGTTCCCATGTCACAGGAAAGGACACTGGTACAGGGGGGTGACTTGAGGTCAAGTATCTGAAATGGTAGTTGGCTCTCTGGAATTTCTCCAGCTTTAAATGCAGCCCTCTTTCTTTCATTCATTTATTTATTTGTTTTTAATAAATTTATTTATTTTTTTGGGGGGGGTGGTGGAGAGGGGCAGAGAGAGAGGGCCCCAAACAGGCTCCATGCTGTCAGCACAGAGCGCAACGTGGGGCTTGATCTCACAAACCGTGAGATCACAACCTGAGCCGAAATCAAGAATCAGATGCTTAACTGATGGAGCCATCCAAGTGCCCCTAAATGCAGCCCTCCTATATCTCACTGCTGCTTCATTCCAAGATTCCTCCTGGCTATTAAATTTGGATTCTCAAATCTGTTGCCAATACAGTTATTCAGACATCTTTCATTCTTTCTAAATATGAACTCTGGGACATAGAAAGGCAAGCTCTCTGTGTATTCACCCACTGCCACATTTTGGGGCTGCTTCCTTCTCCTTTCCCTTCTCTCCTCCAAGGTCTGGTGCGAGCTCTCCCTCCCTCCCTGAAGACTCTGTCATCATGGGCTGCCCTGTGGCATCACGTACATGCTACCCTGGGCTCCTTCAGCTCGGGCAGCTTGTACTCGGATCATCAACCCACTACTTTGTACTGTGGTCTGCACGTGTCACACATGTGAGTCCTTTGTCATCAAGTGGATGATAAATTAGGGAAGGAACCTGGCCTTATATTTCTCTATAGCACTTAGCACAGCTCTAGGAATAACTGTGTGTTGATTGATTTTGTCAGATTTTTTAGCTGATATTACAACGATTTTCATCTTAGTGAGCACGTAGCTCAAAACCATGCTAATCTTGCTTGCTTCTCTCTCCCTCACTCTCCTTGTTTCTCTTTTCCTCTTCTAATAGCACCTATATTCTCTTTACTACATAATTTAATTCCTAACAGGATTAAGGGGTAAACATCTACCTTGGTCTACACTGGCTAAATTTGGTGCTGCTGTCCAGTGTCTAGCTATGCACAAAAGGCTGTGGCAAAGGTGTTTTTTTTTTCTTCTTGGAGGAAAATATTCAGAAACTCCTAAGAACACTGATCATCATAATATTTCACTCCCGATTCTGTTGAAGGAAAGAGGCACAAATAAATCATCCTGTCTTTTCAGGAAACATCAGAACAACTGGTTAAAGTAGAATTACCTAGAGTGAAGTTGACAGGCTCAGGCTGTTTCTACAATGTATTTGGGAAAGATTCTTATGCCACCCGATGCAACAGTTCAGTCAAATGTCTAGGAGTACTGGCAGGGCGGAGAGGATAGGAGGCTGTCCCAAGGGGTCCCTGGGCAACAATCCGGGTACAGAAGTCGTGCTAAGCCCCAGCTACAGAGAAATGACACAATCATGCTTACAATGCGACTACAGGGGAATCAGGATGGATTCCTTGTCCCAAACTATTTCCTTCATATAGTCTTAAATTCTGCATCTGGGAGATTAGTGAGATGTATTCAATACTATTAAAAGAAAGCAATTCCTAGGGCACCTGGGTGGCTCAGTCAGTTAAGCATCTGACTTAGGCTCAGGTCATGATCTCATGGTTCGTGAGTTCGAGCACCCACATCGGGCTCTGTGCTGACAGCTCAGAGCCTGGAGCCTGCTTTGGATTCCATGTCTCCCTCTCTCTGTGCCCTTCCTCTGCTTATGCTCTCTCTCTCTCTCTCAAAAATAAATAAACATAAAAAAATTAAAATAAAACAATTCCTCTGAAAATGTTAAAGAGTTCTTGGTCCATCCAATTCAGTGCAAATAAATTTGAGAGTTTCTCTCAAATAGCCTCATTCAGGCAGTTTGGTTTAGGGTACTGGTTCTCACACTTGGCTGTCCACTGGAAACAACTATGGAGATTATTTTAAAAGTACTTATATCTGTGTCCCAGCCTCAGAGATTCTGATTTGTTGGGAGAGTGCCCTAGATGCCAGGATTTTAAAAATTCTCAGATAATCCTAATATAATAACTTTGAGAACCACTATTTTACAGGGAAGGAAACTGCTCTGGAATGAGCTAGGCCTGGTTCTAGTCCCAGTGGTGATGCTTACCAGCTTTGTGGCATTGAGCCCATCTTCTTTATTTCTCTGAGCACATATTTCCCTGGAGAACACTAATATCGTCCATTCAAGATTGTTATAAAAGGTAAATATGATGACACATATAAAGTACTAGTCACTAACTATGTACTCAAATACTTCTTTTCCCCCCTACCTCGGAATGAGGGTTTCAGATGGGGATGGGTATTTTGTAGGTAGGGAGGCCATAGGGTGTTCTGGAGGAAAGAGAACCATATGTGGTGTGCCAAAAGCCTGTGAATTAAAGGTGGAACAAGGGGAACCCCATGTGTGCATGTGGGCGTGTGTGTGTGAAGACAGAAAGGGATGAATTGCCATTTGTTGAATGAGTAGCAAAACAATGTAGATAATAAAGATCCAAACTGAGATTCTGTTCCTACTCTCTCTTGCCTGGGGCTTTCTATGCCCTGCTTTGTCCCTTGCCCCTTTATTAAGAAAAGGATTGAGATTGCACAGACCAAGTAGCGTCCAGACCTCCAAGCCCACAAGTACTGGGCAACCTGCCTTCATCCTCCGAGGCCCCATGGGGTGCCTTGGTTATCCCAGAGTACTGACCCGATCTTCAGAAAGAGAGAGCGTGTGCACAGGGATGGGCTGCCATCGCAGGCTAGGATTCCAGACGTCGATACCCTCTGGGGGAAACAGGCCTGCGAGGTTCGTCATAGCACTCATCAAAGTCCGGTCAACGTCTGTGCTTTGAATGTAAACCTAGAGTGGGAAAATCAAAGGAGAATCCAACTGATTGGAACTGTGGGTTTTTCCTTATGGTGGGAAGAGTACTTTGAGAAAGGCCAGGATCTTCACACCAAAACATTAGCATCATGATCATAGTATCTACAGTGGAAGAGACAGTATGATGAGAATGCCAGATGGTATGTCAATGGCTGAACTGACAAAAGAAATCAATTAAGTAGTGGCTACTTGCCAAGCCAAAGTATTTGCCAATAGTTATCCATAAAATTTTAAGCTTCGTCATATTCATACATTTTTTAGAACAAAGTATTTGTATAAAGAGGAGTATATTTGTAAATAAGATCTCTGACTTGTAGAAGTTCCTTGGAAAACAGGTAAAGCACTTTCACAAATGCACCATTATGTTGCATTCTATCAAGGAAAAATGTTCCCACTCTCGGATCCCCAACTTACCTGTTCATGTCTGTAGGAGTCATTCAAAAATGTTCTATATCTTTCCCTTATATACTGTCCAAGTTCATAATGCTGCTCCATGCCCAGCTATGGGAACAAATAAAAGCAAAAATCGGTGAGAGTAAATTCTGGAATCTCATGTGTGAGTCTCATCTCTCCTCACTGAATGTGTAGAATAAGTAATGGTGCACTTTAATAGTTCAACAACAATGACAAAAATCAACATATTTTTAAAAGAAAACAAGAAAAGAGAGTTGTAATCTTTAGCCATGACTCCTTGAGAAAACTCATTCACCTTCATTAGCACTTAACACAGAACCTTGTATACTTAATAGCTGGTGATTGATGTGATTTAAATAAATGGTTCATCTCTGGTGTGGTACAACATCACTGGCTCATCTTTGTTGGAAAAACAATCAAGAGAGCCGGTTGAACAGTTGGTGGAGGTTTGGGGGAAGAAATTCAGCCATCTGATAAAAGGTCGGACTTGGTGAATCTGATGATCACTTTTTTCTTAATGTTGTATTTATTTTTTGAGACAGAGAGCTCTATCGGGGAACATGCAGAGAGAGAGAGAGAGAGAGAGAGAGGTAGGGGGTGGGGACAGAGGATCTGAAGTGGGCTCTCACCTGACAGGAGAGAGCCTGATGTGGGGCTTTGAACTCAGGAATGATGAGATCATGACCTGAGCCAAAGTCAGATCCTCAACCAACTGAGCCACCTAGGGGCCCCTGAAGATCACTTTTAACCTCTAGCTGTAATGATTTATTATCTGCACAGTCTATGTGGTTCATGAAAAACTAGAGCCTGTTACTCAAAATGTGGTCTGGGGATCAGAAGTATTAACATCTCTTGGGAGTATGTTAGAAACCAAATTCTTGGGCCTCACCTTGATCTACTAAGCCAGAATCTTTGGGGGGTGGAGCTCAGGAACCTGTTTTTAACAAGCTTACTAAGATTCTGATGGCCAATAATCATTGAGGAATGTTGCTTTAGTTCAGTGATCCAATAATCATTGAGGAATGTTGCTTTCGTTCAGTGATCCTCAAGCATTACTGTGCATTAGAAGCAAAATTGTCTAGGGGTGCTTGTTGAAATGCAGATGCCTCAGCATTTCCCCCAGAGATTCCTGCTCATTAGGTTCTGGGGTGTCCCTGGAATCTGCATTTCAACAAGTGCCCTGAGTGATTCAGATCCATGGAGTAGAGTGCTGTGCTTTGAGAAACACTGCTTTCGAGTCTGTCTTTAATCCCAAACCTTACCAGAGCTTCAGGAGTCAGAGAGAATGTGGTCACTATAGCTCTGCTTGGTCCCACTTGTTCATTTGCTTGTACTCCTGGCTATCATGATCATCACCACCTCCCTAGGATGAGGAAGGAGGTGTGAAAAGAGTCATGTGTGCTTAACTTTTTGCTAGTTTCCTGGGTGATGTGAATAGCTAAAGAAGCAGATACTTTGGCCCTAATTTGTTGCATTAACTTAGAGCGAATTTTGAAGAAAGAGTCATCTTCTCCAGAGCAGATTTCAAACTTAGCATGCCCAGAATCACCTGGAGGATTCATTAAGACAAAGGTTCCCAAAATTGAACCCCAGAGTTTCTGGTTCAGTTGGGGAGGGCCAGAGAATTTATATTTCTGACAAGTTTCTAAGTGATGGTGATGTTGCTTGTCCAGGGACCACACTTTGAGAGCCAGTGACCTGAAGAGCCATCATTTTGTCTTTATGTAGATTGGAAGTGCCTGGGCAAGGGAGGAATTTGAGCTCTAGACCCTTGCTACTTCCAGAGTGGCCATGTACCAGCACATTGGTATCACCTTGGAGTAGGTGAAGACTCGTAGGCCCATGTCAGGCCTGCTGAATTAGAATCTGCATTTTTCCCTTTTTTTCTCCAAGTGTCATTGAGATATAATGACACATACCACTGTATAATTTTAATGTATACAGCATAACAATTTGGTTTACACACATTGTGAAATGATTACTGGTGTAAATTTAGTTAGCATCTGTCATTTCATATAGATACATTAAGAAGAGAAAGCAAAATAGAAAAGAAAAACAAATTGTTTTTCCTTGTGATGGGAACTCTTGGGATCTACTCTCTTAACAACTTTCATATATATCATAGAGCAGTTTTACCCATAGTCTTTACGATGTAAATTATATCCCTAGCACTTATTTACCTTGTAACTCGAAGTTTGTACCTTTTGATCACTGTTTTCCCAACCTCCTTCCCCCTATTCCCTGCCTCTGGTAACCACAAATCTGATCCCTTTTTCTATGAGTTTGGTTTTTAAATTTTTTTTAGATTCCACATATAAATAAGATCATACAGTATTTTTCTGTCTCTGTCTGGCTTATATCACTTAACACGATGCCCTCAATCAAGGTACATCCATGTTATCCCAAATACAAGGATTTAATCATTTAAGACTAAAAAATATTCTATATATACAATACATACCATTACATATACATATGTGTGTGTAGATAGATATGCACATATATATATGTCTTTATCCATTCATTTGTTGATGGACACTTAGGCTGTTTCTATGTCTTGGCTATTGTAAATAATGCTGCAATGAACATGGGGGTGCAAATATCTTTCTGAATTAGTGTTTTCGTTTCCTTAGAATATTAGAGCCTGCATTTTAACAAGATGATACCATTTACACTTGGCGCTTGAGAAACACTGCTAAAGGAAAATCTGATGGCTCGTCAAGAAATACCCAGAAGGAGAATCCAGATCCCACAGTCTGAAAGAATTTTTTAGTCTTACTGGAAAAGCGAGCAAGGGAACAGGAATCTTCACACAGCCACAAGTATTAAGAAGTAGTGCTGACGTTTTGCTACTGTTCCCTCCTTTAAGGAGCCGGAAGCTGGGTAGGCTATGATGGGAGGAGCTCAGACCCAGGAGCCAAAAGATGCTGACCTCAAATAGCCTCTGTAGATTTTTCCTTGATGAAGCAACATGGTTGAGGTAGGGAAGTGATTCTCAGCCTTGGCTGCACATTAGAGTCAAATGCTCAACTGAGGAGTTTCTAAAACTCCCAATGTTCAGGCCACTCCCTAGATGAATTAAATAAGAACTACCCAGACATTTAAAGCTCTCCAAATAATTTCAATGTTTAGCAAAGACTGAGGTCCATTGGTTTAAAAACAATTTTTTTTAAACATTATTTTTGAGAGACAGAAAGAGACAGAGTGCAAGCAGGGGAGGGGCAGAAAGAGAAGGAGAAACAGAATCCAAAGCAGGATCCAGGCGTTAAGCTGTCAGCACAGAGCCTAATGTGGGGCTCGAACTCATGAACCATGAGATCATGACCTGAGCTTAAGTCAGACACTTAACTGACTAAGCCACCCAGGCACCCTGAGGTCCACTGGTTTAAATGTTTAGTTAAATGTTTAGAGATATTTGACTCTAAACATTCTATGAGATTTTCTTAATGTATTTAAACAGTGCTTTGGTTGGGTCAGAAGCAACACCTGTGGCCTCGTGGCCCCAAAGGAAGGCACTATCCACGCTTGCAAGGGAAGGGGGTGGGGCACGGGAGTGGTGACTACAGATGCCTTTGCCCTCCTTGCCTTCACCTTCTCCTTTGCTGCTCGTGAGGGCTCCCTATGTTTAACTGACCACTTATTATTTTTTTAAAGTGTTTATTGAGTTTTGAGTGAGAGAGAGAGAGAGGGAGGGAGACACAGAGTCTGAAGTAGGCTCCAGGCTCTGAGCTGTCAGCACAGAGCCCAACATGGGCTCACAAGCTGTGAGATCATGACCTGAGCTGAGGTCAGACACTTAGCCGACTGAGCCACCCAGGTGCCCCAACTGACCACTTATAAGGAAGGCTCAATCCCAGTATATCTAGCTGATAAAGAATCAAATTTGGTATCAGCATTTCTAGAGGAATCCTGTTCTCCTAACCCTGCTGATGTAGTTTATCGACTACAAGATTATTTTCTACTTCGTCAGGTAGAGGCTGAGAAACCCAGGGGCTGGCTTCCAAGTATTTGTTGGTCTTTAGCATCTTTAAGTTCATGTATTCGTCTGTGGCTGTGCATGGCTCTTAGAATTTAATAAAGCCAAACAGGGTAAAGAAAAATCAAAACTGGAAATTTTATACAATTTTCCTATTACCAGTCACTAGGGGTGACCTGGTCATGATGAGAAATTACTGAAGTTAAACATTAGTGCCTCTCCTTCCACAATCAAAACACATTTTAGACTTTTTAGATCCCATACAATTGTGCAAAATACTCTCCCAGATCTGAATAACACAGTTTGGTTTCCCTTAAGACTTATCAGCAATCTTGAGCTGAAAATCCCAACCAACCTGAGTGAGTTGGCCAAATCCTTGTGGCCATGAGGATTCCTTGATGGGGTCGTTGGGGAAGGTTTCAATGGGACTTCGGTCTCCATGTCTAAACACCTGCAAAGACAGTAATGTTACAAATTTCACCTCAGTGTTTTGCCTCTGCTCATCCTAATAGATTTTCATTTAAACCACTGGTTCTCAACCTAGGCTGCTCATTGGCATCACCTGGGGAATTAAAAACAATTCTGAGGAATGGATCCCACTTCTAGTGATTTTGGTCTAATTAGTTTGGGATGTGGTCAGAGCCTTAGGATTTAAAAAAAAATTTTTTTTAATGTTTTACTTATTTCTGAGAGAGGGAGAGAGACAGCATAAGCAGGTGAAGGTCAGAGAGAGAGGGAGACACAGAATCGGAAACAGGCTTCAGGCTCTGCCTGAGCTAGCTGTCAGCACAGAGCCCGACATGGGGCTCGAACCTACTAACGGTGAAATCATGACCTGAGCTGAAGTCGGCGCTTAACCAACTGAGCCACCCACATGCCTCACGGATTTTAAAGATGTCCCAAAGTAAACCTCAGGTTGAGAACCACTGTTTTGTTTTGTTTTTTCTTTTTCTAGTATTTATTTATCTTTCAGAGAGAAAGAGACAGAGTACAAGCAGGGGAGGGCCAGAGAGCAAGAGAGAGGGAGGCAGAGGATCCAAAGAGGCTTCAGGCTCTGAGCTGTCAGCACATAGCCTGACGAGAGGCTTAAACCCAGAACCGCGAGATCATGACATAAGCTGAAGTGGGACACTCAACTGACTGAACTGCCCAGGCACCCCAAGAACCACTGTTTTAAGCTCACTAACACTTTCCTGTGTTTCAAGTAATGTATATAACAAGACAATCAGTCATTAGAAAGCAGGCGAGCCACATGTAGTGATTGGTTTGCATATTGGGGCAAGAAGGAACACAAAGTTTAGCAAGATCACTTTATTGCAGACAAACTCTGAAAAGTATTCTTCCTTAATTACGGTTACAGTAATAATGGTGTTAAAACGTTTATGTACCATAAAAATAGTGATTTTTCAATGCCATGTACAATTTGTAACCATCTTGAGCCAATGATTTATTAGTTTTTAGGAGATTACGGATAAAGAACTTTTGGATAGGGAGATTCAAAAGGCTAATTCTGAATACTTTAAGAATATTTCTGGACTTGTATGCATGTCATGCTATTTTGATTGTACATTTTATTCCTGGAGGAGAGTAGTCTGGACTTTCAAGACCTTGATATTTTATGATTCCAATATGCTTCCTGAATAGAATATCAAACCAAACACCAAGTTATTTTATAAGCAAAAGATAAGAGAAGTAAAACACCTAGGAAATCCAAGATGAAGTCTATACTGATGCCAGCAAACATTTTTAATGTTTGGGGCTGGATGATTCCTTTTTAAGGGGCTGTCTTGTTCATCATGGGATGTTTAGTAGCATGCCTGGCATTAGGGCACTAGAGGTCAATAGCAAACCCTAGTTGTGACAACCCAAAAGTTCTCCAGACACTGCCAAATGTGCCCTAGAGAGTACCTCTAGCTGAGAGGCCCTGAGTTAGCCAAAGAGAAATCAGATGAGAGACACTGTAGTGAAATAAAATTTACAAAGCTTTCTACCAGCCTATAACCACAATAACTCCTCACGGTTTATTTGAATGCCTGTTGTGTCCTAGAAAATGTGGCAAGTGCTTCTCATAATTTAATCCACTCATCAGTTCTACAAAGTGTTTACTATTATCTTCATTTCACAAACATGGAAATCAGCCCTATAGTTAAGTGACCTCCCAAGGTCTCGCAGAGTGTGAGTCATATGATAGGGCAGAGTTCCAAGTACAGACTGTGTGCCTCCAATGCCTGCATTCTCAACCTGTGTAAGAGGCTCATTTCTCTGTGCTGAAACACAGCCCCTAGCATCCCAGCAGTGGGTGATCTGGGATTTGGGCTTCTTTATAAACTCTAGTCTTTTCCTCGAAGATTGGAAGCTATGTGTGGGGGGGGGGGGGGGGGGGGGCGGGAGCCATTGTTGCACTAGAGGAAAATAAAACCTTGATATAAGAAACAACACTAAATATCATTTAAAAAATAAAACTGAGGGGCGCCTGGGTGGCTCAGTTGGCTAAGCGGCTGACTTTGGCTCAGGTCATGATCTTATGGTTCCTGAGTTCGAGCCCTGCATCAGGCTCACTGCTGTCAGTGCAGAGCCTGCTTCGGATCCTCTGTTTCCCTCTCTCTGCATGCCCCCCTCCACACTCTTTCATGCTCTCCCTATTGCTCTATCTCTTTCAAAAATAAATGAATAATAAAAACATTTTTAATAAAAAATAAAAGTAAAAACTTAAAACTGAGATTATGCATCTAAATGACAGAATGGCCTGGGGAAAAAGAAGTGTGGTCCCCTTGGAAAAGGGTTTTTTAAACAGCAGAGCCCAATCACAAGACTTGAACAAGCTTTCTCACTCTGTCCTTACGGGTCAGGAATAACTCCCCTCTATTTCCATAGGTTTTAGGGGTTTTTCAGGTAGTGGCTCAAGCATGCCGTGAGCTCTTCAGAAAGGGCGTCCCACAGAGACACTGAATAAGCCATTACCCCCCAACCCGGCACTGGAAATCAGTATGTGCGTGTGCAGGCACACACGCGCACATCAGCGAGTGCCCTCCAGCACACAGGTGGCATTCTTGAGTTTCAGCCGGAGCCTTTGGACATGCCCAGATGCCCTTTTAAGTCTGCGGAAAGGCCATTTTCCTACTATCAACCCACTGCTCCACTGCTCCTACTATCAATCAATTTCCTCCACAAAATTTGTAACCTGTGTTCTCAGCCCAGCAATCATACTCTGAAATCCTTTACAAACCTACAGAGGGTCAGCAGTAGTCCTGTCTGCAGTGGGAGTGCTAATTGCAATAGAAGACGTCCAGGATAACAACCTCCTGTGTTTGTGCAACCCTCTGTGGCTTTGTACACTTCCTTCCCTGCTCTCTCTTTCAGTTCTCACAAGTCCTGTGAGGCCAGGCTGGCACTGTTGCTGTCTTGAACAAAGAAGGAAACTGAGGCTCAGAGAGATTAAATGAGCCATGCAGAGCTCTTCCTTTTCATGATGGCTACCCACTGTTTTCTCTACCATATCATATCACATCCATCTCATCCTTTTAGATCACAGGTAACTTGTTTTTTAATGTTTATTTATCTTTGAGAGAGAGAGAGGGAGCAGAGCAGGAAACGTACACACACACACACAGAGGGACAGAGATCCGAAGTGGGCTTTGTGCTGACAACACAGAGGCTGATGCAGGGCTTGAACCCACAAACCGTGAGATCATGACCTGAGCCGAAGTCGGACACTCACTGGCTGAGCCACCCAGGTGCTCCACAGGTTACTTAAAAAAGAAAAAAAGAAGAAGAAGAAGAACCATGGTTTGGACCCCCATGAATTCTCTTTCTCCATCGATTCTGCTAAGCAGATGTGGCATGTTACGCAGGTCTCACAGCACCCTACCTGATCTGGCCTTGCCCACCTCGATGCTCGACCTTATATTCTTTTTTTTTTTTTAATGTTTTACTTATTTCTAGGAGAGAGAGAGAGACAGCATGAGCAGGGGAGGGTCAGAGAGAGAGGGAGTCACAGACTGAAACAGGCTCCAGGCTCTGAGCTGGCAGTCAGCACAGAGCCCGACGCGGGGCTCGAACCCACGAACCGCGAGATCATGACCCAAGCGAAAGTCGGACGCTTAACCGACTAAGCCACCCAGGCGCCCCTGCTCGACCTTATATTCTTACTAAACATGCTTAGCCGCAGAGACCCTGCTGTTCCACCTAATACATTGTTTGTTCCAGCCTCATGGCGGTAATGTTCTGTCTGCCTGGAATGTCCTACTTCTGCTTCTAATCCTGGCAGTCACTAGTTTCAGGTCCCTCCTGAAAAAGGCCATCAAGAGAGATCTCCCTTGACCTCCCATACTCACCATGCTTATTATTCTGTCTCTAAAAAGTTAAGAATAATGATTCTGTAAGAGTTTTCTATGGGACACTCTGGAAAAAGGAGGTGGATTCTGTCAAAGTTTAGGAAATGCAGTTTACTAGATCCTTTCCATTATTTATTTATTTTAATGTTTTATTTATTTCTGGGAGAGAGAGAGAGACTACGTGAGCAGGGAAGGTTCAAAGAGAGAAGGAGAGACAGAATCTGAAACAGGCTCCAGGCTCTGAGCTGGCTGGCAGCCCGACGCAGGGCTTGAACCCAAAAACCCAAGAACCGTGAGATCATGACCTGAGCTGAAGCCGGATGCTTAACCGACTGAGCCACCCAGGTGCCCCTAGATCCTTTCCTTTAAAGCCACAGCCCATATCAGAATCTTAATGACTGAGGAGTCCTGCCCTTAAGAGACCCAAAATACAGTTTAACCCATGTTCTGTTCCCAGGGCAGATATGATTTTTTAGCAAGCAACTCCTGTTAACAACTCGTCAAACTAGCATTCCACAAGATGAACTTTGATAAACCTGTTTTGAAAGATTATGTGAGGACTCTCTTCATGAGAAGGAACAAGAACCAAGGGCAGTTTCCTGCTCTTTCTGCCAAGAACAGCTTTTCAGAATCGGGGAAGATTTATTTTTCTTGGATCAAAGAGAGACGGTGAGGAAGACACCTGCTGATTATGAGTCCGAGTTAAGTCTGTGCACCCAATCTCCACGGGGAGATGCAGCTCCATGTGCTGGCTTAAATGAATACAGCAGGAATGGAATATGTTTAGTGATTAGGGGCATGGCCTCTTCAACCATACAGTCTGGATTCAAATCCTGACCAACACGGTCACCATGGGCAAGCTGCTTAACCTCAGCGTGTCTCAATGCCTTTATAAAACAGAGTTAGTAAGGTTTTTACAAACACTTGGTGGAACAGTTGCCAGATATAGCAAACAAAACTACAGGTTGCCCAGATAGTGCATGAAACATCCTTTATACTTAAAATGTATTTGATGTTTATCTGAAACTCAAATTTAACTTGGTATCCCGTGTTTTCCTAGCAATTCCACTTTCTAGGTTGCTGGGAGGTTAATGTGACATATTCCATACTGAACTCTCAGAGCAGTGCCTGGCATGCAAAAAGCATTCAAGTCCCGGTTGGTTATTGTCACTAATGTTACCACTTTAATCAGAGGCAGTTTTCTTTCATTCTGGTTCTAACAATTTTCTTTCTTTCTTTCTTTCTTTCTTTCTTTCTTTCTTTCTTTCTTTCTTTCTTTCTTTCTTTCTTTCAAGTAGGCTTCACCAAAATAAGTCAGTTAGAAAAAAACAAATATATGATTTCACTCACATGTAAAGTTTAAGAAACAAAACAGATAAACACAGGGGAAGTGAAGGAAAAATAAGATAAGAACAGAGAAGGAGGGAAACCGTAAGAGACTCTTAAATACAGAGAACAAACTGAAGGTTGCTGAAGGGGAGGCAGGTGGGTGGGTGATGGGCATTAAGGAGGGCACTTGTTGGGTTGAGCACTGGGTATTATACATAAATGATGAACCACTAAACTTTACTCCTGAAACCATTATTACACTATATGTTAACTAACTCGGATTTAAATAAAATTTAAAAAAAAATACAAAAGGAAGCTAAAAAAAATAATGAACACATACAGTTATATGATGCTAAACAAGCAATCTAACTTTCTTTGTCTCAGTTTGCACATTTATAAAATTGAGATTATAGTGCCTAGGGAAAAGGCTTTTTAGAACAATTAAATTATGTTGCTTATGTTAAAAAATAATAATAAAGTAGGGGCTTAAACTCACAACCCTGAGATCAAGACCTCAGCTGAGATCAATAGTTGGATGCTTAACTGAATAAGCCACCCAGGTGCCCCAGGTTCTAATAATTTTCTAAGGATTTGCCTGGATATATAATTTAACCATTTATAGTCAAATATTCTCTATAATCAATAAAAAGAAGAAAGTAGTATCTACTTACTAAAGCCCTTAGATAGAATTAACTTGTAGTCCCTGGATACATGTTACCTAACAGTGAAGGAGGAAAAAGTAAAGCCACAAGAGTTTGGTGCCAATGGAAGTTAGCCTGGACTGCAGTAAAAGAGGAAGAGAATTGGCCACATGAAGTTAACCAAAACTTCACTGTAATATCTCAAGGAGGATTCCACTCAATCGGCTTGTCACAAGTTTATAGTGTTGATAGTGTAATATTTGCAGAGTCTTGACACTTGCTTAATGCATGTGTTGGCAAGGAATATAAGTGAAAGTCTAACTGGGGCGCCTGGGTGGCTCAGCTGGTTAAGCGCTGACTTCTGCTCAGGTCATGATCTTGTGGTTCGTGGGTTCGTGAGTTTGTGGGTTCGGGCCCCCTCATTGGGCTCTGTACTGATAGCTGAGAGCCTGGAACCTGCTTTGGATTCTGTGTCTCCCTTTCTCTGCCCTCCCCCACTCGTGCTCTCTCTCTGTCTCTTAAAAATAAACATAAAAAAATTTTTTTTAAATATTTTTATTTATTTCTAGGAGAGAGAGAGAGAGACAGCATGAGCAGGGGAGGGTCAGAGAGAGAGGGAGACACAGACTCCGAAATAGGCTCCAGGTTCTGAGCTGGCAGTCAGCACAGAGCCCAATGCGGGGCCCGAACCCACGAACCGCGAGATCATGACCTAAGCGAAAGTCGGACGCTCAACCAACCAAGCCACCCAGGCGCCCCTAAAAAATTTTTTTAAATGAACAAATCAGGAGACCCTAGATGCTGGCGAGGATGTGGAGAAACAGACACCCTCCTACACTGTTGGTGGGAATGTAAGCTGGTGCAACCCCTCTGGAAAACAGTATGGAGGTTCCTCAAAAAATTAACAATAGAACTCCCCTATGACCCAGCAATAGCACTGCTAGGAATTTACCCAAGGGATACAGGAGTGCTGATGCATAGAGGCACATGGACCCCAATGTTCATAGCAGCACTCTCAACAATAGCCAAAACATGGAAAGAACCTAAGTGTCCATCAACTGATGAATGGATAAGAAGATGTGGTTTATCTCTACAATGGAATACTACGTGGCAATGAGAAAGAATGAAATCTGGCCATGTGTAGCAATATGGATGGACCTTGAGGGTGTTATGCTGAGCGAAATAAGTTAGGCAGAGGACAGATATCATATGTTTGCGCATATAGGTGTATTAGGAGGAAGTTAACAGGCCAAAGTGGGAGAAGAAGGGGAAAAAATAGTTGGGGAGAGGGAGGGAGGCAAACCATGAGAGGCTCTTGAATGCCAGAACAAACTGAAGGCTGAAGGGAAGGTGGGGTAGAGGGGAAGGGGGGTGATGGGTGTGGAGGAGAGCACTTGTTGGGAGGAGCACTGGGTGTTATATGTAAACCAACTTGACAATAAACTGTTAAAAATATTTTTTTGAAAAAAAGGAGTGGATCATAGAAAGCATTTAATAAAAAAAATTTTTTTAAAGTCTGACTTGCATGGATTTCTATACAAAAGGTACACAATATTTCACACCTTTTTTTCTTTTGAAGCACAGAAACCTGGCAGCTGGTAAATCATTTATAAATAAACTGATGATATGTTTCTGATTCTCTGTCTCTCATTTGTTGACTCATGACCTGGTAAAGATTTACTGTACTAATAAGCATATGGTATGAAATTTTTTTTCTGTAGGGAAAGAAAGGAGTGATGAAAACACTAAGCTGAGAAAACAGGAACTTCATGTTTAATTTTTAAGTAAAAGATGACCTCCCTGCAAATTATAGAAATAAATTCTGAGTACTCTTACAGTAAGAAACTTTACTTATCAGCATATTTTTACTCTGTCAAATAAAAAAAGAATAAGGAAGAGAAAGACATTGAGACAGTGGCTGGGAAAGACAAGGAGAGTGTCAGAGGCAGAGGGAGACTGAGTAAAACAGAACAAGAGAAACACGTACAAAGAAAATCAATTAATTTTGGGGATTAATACCAGCACACCCAGGTAAAGTGCTAAATCCCCTTTACTTTGCAAACCCCCTTTCTATTTTTAAAATAACAACCATAGTGTATTTTCTTTCCTTAACTTCATGCATCAGCCACCCCTATTTCCCCATAATTTGTCACATGGTACATTGGGTGGAGAAAAACATTATTTTAATCGTCAACCAAATCTATATGTATCAGGAAGTCCTCCTCAAAGTCTCGAGTTTAGTTTCACTTTTAGGCTTCAAAGACTGTTTACAAATCTATTTTCGGATTTCCTGATGAATAAAAGTGGAAGGGGCTACTTAATTCAGAAAAAGACAGTTTTGGGGGTTTGCAAACAAATCACCATTAAACTGAATGAAGCCTGATTAAGCTCTTGGTGCTAACCCCGGCCAGCTGCGGCTTCCCCCCCAAAGCGTCCAGGGGCTGTCAGAAGGAACATGCGTTCAGGGCAGTTGGGAAGTAAATGAATAAAGAACATCGGCAGAGGCACGTATAACCAAACCAAACACTTTTTGTTAGGACATGTTAAGTAGGTAAGTATTCGTTAGTAGGAACTTGTGAAACTTGATTATTCACTTTCTGAGTCTGGTCCCTGGGAGACCACAGGAGGCTGATAGGAAACCTGACACTTGGTTATCATCCCTTGCTGGTAACAGTTTAAGGGAAAAGCAGTGAGAAAAGCCTACTCACCAGTGTCACAAACTTCAGCTCCTTGGCTACCACACCTCGGTCTACCCAGGAGGAAAGCAGAAGCAAGAAGCTAAGATAAAGACTTGGTGTCCTGGCCGAGGGGAGCCGGGCAGCTCTCATGCTGGGGAGAAGTGTCTCTTGCAGGAGTTAGGAAATGCTGTCTCCAGAGCAAAAGCCATTAGAGGGGAAGCTATTTATCAAAGGAATTGAAAGGGAAGGAGTCGCTGGGAGGAGTCAGACTCGGAAATAGTATGGTCGCCAGGTAGCTTGGGGCGGGGTTTGGCAAGTGAGATAATTTTGGGGGCTGGGTGTGAGAGATCAAAGTCTTCTGAATTTAAGGTAGAACTCATGCCCAGGGATGAATGAGCTGTTGTTTAAGGACACAGATCATGTCGAGAGATGTTTTGGAATTGACTGACTCTTTTCTTGAGATGGGGTGTGACATAGTGTTTGCTTTGTGACTGTCACTTGGGAAAGGGATCTCTCTCGACTTTGGAAACCTTAGGCCAGCGATTCCTCATCTTTTGGGAATCCAGAGTTATAAGCAGAGAGATATGGAGGGAACTGCAGGTTCTGGGGCATTTGGGGTCTATTCCCCAGGCCAAACATGGCTCCCCTTGTAAAACTCTCATGTAGCCTAAAGAGGTGTTTTTAAATTGAAGGAAAGTAAGAGAAATATTATTTTCAAAAATTTATAGTGACACGTTAAGATGTTTGGGGTTCATCTGTGGCATCTCAACACTAGGGTTGGATGTACCTTTCCTAACCTGACACAATTTAAAAAAACAATGGCAACAGCAAACTTACCTACAGCTCTGTATTGTCAGCCACCATCTTTGGCCTAATTCTGCATTCTGGGTAAGTCACACCCTTGCCTCTCCAGCCATGATCTCATCAGGGACGCTATAAAAGAGGATAATCCGGACTTCAAAAACTTAGCTGTCCATTTCCCCCAAACTGTCAGCTCCATCGTAGGCTACAACAGGATGTGGGTGCCAAACTGCCTGTCACGATGCTTCCACCCCATCAGCAGAGGGAGAACAATGGTTTTCCCCACAACCTGTTCTCTGGTACATTGCGTTTCCCTGTGACAAGAGGGTTCTGTTGTAATGTGATCACAGGATGCCCTAGAATGTGGTGTGTAGGAGAGCCGTTGCTTCTTTTGGTATGGGAAAATGTGTGCAAAGAATGAATGAATGTGTGGTTGGGTTAGACATTTAAGGGGACTTGTGACCCTCTCTTTGCTGCCACATTCCTCACCTGCCAGTCCCCACTCTCCTTTTCAGTGGGTGGTATTTTGAGGAGATGGGTTCAGAGAAAAGGGGATGGAGATTGGGAGGTTGTCCAGGGCAGACTTGAAATTGCCACACTGATCCCTGCTGCATGCATCAGGCCGCCTGACAAAGGAAGGCTCCAGCTCCTGATTACCTTATACAGACTTGGTTCTGACCCACATGCTTTAAATTGTGCCACATCCATGATTCTGTTTAATGTCTTGTTTTTTCAAGGATCAAGCTGGCCCCTTGTTCTCCTATCTTCTTCCTTGTCTACTTTTGGATTGATGCCTGGCACTACGCTGGCTGTATTGGTACTTCCTGGTAATGACTCTGGTTCTCTATCCCACCTGTGCCATGTTGTGTTAGGTTGTATAAACCCCTCTCTGGTCCAGACCTGACTTTCTCTGTGTCACCTTCCCTGGGCCCCTTTCAGCCCTCCAAGTAGGAACAACAGCAGAAACAGCAGCAACAACTTTTCTAGAGAGAACCAGAAAAAGGCTGACTAAATAGAATACATCTCAACTTAAACTGATTCCAGTTGGAATAAATGGATGGTTTATACTTCTATTCTCTACCCTAACTTCTACTTTGCCCATCCAATTATAAGGAGAGGAGACAATCATAAATACAGATCTGAACACCATGACATTGTGTCTGAAAGCATCTCAACTCAGATAAATTTATTTAAAAACCTTCTTTGGTCTCTTGAACCTTAAACTCATAAGGCCTTTGCAAAAGCCTAAATAGTAATCTAAATCAACACGCAGATATGGTAGCATTTAAGGTGAGACTAGAAAAAGTGATTGGGATATTGTAATTGATATCCCAATGAAGCGTGCCAATAGTCTTAGTGTCAGCGATTAGCAGAACTTACTGGCTGAATCACTTTTGTTTCTTCACATGGCAACTGTTCAGCCTCCAATTAACACGATGTTAGGAAGTCCCATAAGTGGAGCAGGTTGGGTTCATAGGAAAACAAACTCCCAGACGGAGATTTGCATGCAGGAAATTTATTTAGGAATGCTCTCAGGATCAGCAACAGAAGGGGGAAGACAAATAAGCAGGGTTGGACAGAGGGAGAAGGCCTCAGCTGACCCTGTGAGGTGTGCTGAAAGTGGAACAGCCTTTTGGAGTTGTCCTGAACTGGGGTGAGGGAGCCAGGCCTTTTTACCCCTGCATCAGCCAGTCACTGGATGCAGGCTGCTCCTCGCAGGGACTGTGATCCCGGGTAAGGTGGCTGTCTCCTGCCATGGCAATTCTGAAAGGCACTGACCACTGAGTAATGTCAGACAGTGTGGTCCCAAGAACTGGGAGGAATTAATCCTTCAACTCACGAAGGGAGATCTGGGTGGTATAACACATAACCCATGACAATGAACAAATATTCATTGGAAAAGAATTCATGATCCTCAGCAGATCATAGTAGGGCTATGAAAATCTAAGTGTACTTCTGATACCAAGAGTCTGGGTTGGAGTTAAGATCCACTAACAGCTCTCCTGGTTGTTCACCAAGAAGGAAGGCTGCGTTTAAACTCCCTGACTTGCTACACCTTTACAACTGTATTATTTGACTCTCAGTGACTTATGGACTATTGGGTACTAAATAGTATTGGTTGATCAATAGTCAATGGAAAGATAAGTTGTTGCATCAGAACTTGTTACAATGTTAGCTGCTTTGAGGCAAAATTTAATATAAGATGGGTTTAAAATAAAAGTTTTCAGGGGCGCCTGGGTGGCTTAGTCGGTTAAGCGTCCGACTTTCGCTTAGGTCATGATCTCGCGGTTCGTGGGTTCGAGCCCCGCGTCGGGCTCTGTGCAGACTGCCAGCTCAGAGCCTGGAGCCTGTTTCAGTCTGTGACTCCCTCTCTCTCTGACCCTCCCCTGCTCACGCTGTCTGTCTCTCTCTCTCTCTCTCCTAGAAATAAATAAAACATTAAAAAAAATTTAAAGTAAAAGTTTTCTGGGGTGCCTGGGTGGGTCAGTCGGTTAAGCATCTGACTCTTGATTGCGGCTCAGGTCATGATATCAAGGTTTGTGGGACTGAGCCCTGTACTTACAGTGTGGTGGCTCCTTAGAATTCTCTCTCTCCACCCTACCCCCCCAATAAATAAACATTAAAAAACAAAGAATAAAAATCTTGCTCCCCTCGACTAATCATTTAGTGTGTTTTGTGTCTGTCTGTAGATCTATTTGCCCTTGTATGTTTAGTTTATTTTTAATAATTAGGCAAACATCCAATATCAGTATCATTGGTGGTATGGGGGAGAGATACAGGATCAGCAATTATGTGCTGCCAAACCTTATAGGTGCCTGAGGCAACAGGAAGATCAGTAATACTGAACCTGTCTTTATTTTAAACTTTGACATCTTTTTATTTATTTTTTTAAGTTTATTTATTTTAAGAGAGAGAGCTCTTGCACGAGTGTGAATGGAGGAGGGTCAGGCGGGGGGTGGAGAGCATCCAAAGCAGGCTCTGTGCTGTCAGCACAAAGCCTGATATAGTATAGGGCTTGAACTCATGAACCATGAGATCATGACCTGAGCCAAAACCAAGAGTTGGGACACTTAACTGACTGAACCACTCAGGTGCCCCAACTTTGACATCTTTTTAAATGATAGATTGTTTTACATTAATTTTTGTTTCTAAAATTACTGGGTTAAAATCTTATTGATCATCATTAGGAAGTTGTTGGCACCCCCTTACATCATGAGCCCAAGGTGAGTGCCTCTCTCTCCTCACTCTAGTTTCCAGACATGACTCTAAGAATTGGAACCTGGCAGAGAACAATTTCTATTTTTCTTTTGAGATTAAATGATCTGACTTCCTCTGGTTCTGTCTCTGAGGAAACGAAGGCTGGGGTAGGAGAAGGTCCGGTTTGGATGGCTATACTGAGGGATCAAGGACTGAAAGGAACAGAGAATTTTATCTGTTAGGCTGAACAAAAGTGACCTTCAGTTACTCCTTGGATGGTGATTACCTGCCTAGGTCTGGCCTCCCTCACACCCCTTCACCCTTGTGGTAATGCTGCTTTCCTCACATTTAGAACTAACCACTGAGAGAAGAGAGATGACAGTGATTCATGACTGAGAAGGAGCTCTGAAGAACAAAGATGCAGTATGAAATTGTCACCCAGGAGCAAGTCTCAATTGTTCAGGAACTGGCAGGAGAGACAGGGAGCTGGGTTTTGTCACAGTCTACTTTGCGGGTCATTGCAAAGTTCCGGTCACTGGGATAGCCAGGCAAATATTGTCCTACTGCCATTTCACCTTTAATACAGCTGTCCAAATTGAACGCTGTATTGGTTCCACTGTATTTAACATGTAAAAGAAAGAACTCACCACTTACAAAAATATCCTATCTTATTTTGTGTAATGTGCATTGAAATGTGTATATTTTGATGGTGCTTTTTTTCTGGGTAATGTGATTGTAAGTGGCTTTACTTTCTTCTTTCTACTCTTCTCTACTTTTGAAATTTCTCACAATGAACAGATATTTTTATTAAAATCAGAAAAGGAATTTTAAAATGTCTAATATGAACTCTATGCTATTTCTTAACTCATTACCTGTTGCCCTCAGAGTCATAGGAAGTGGGTCTTAAAGGTCAGTGACTTTATTTTTTTATTAAGATTTTTTTAAATGTTTATTTATATTTGAGAGAGACAGATAGACAGACAGACAGAGCATGAAAGGGGAGGGGCAGAGAGCGGGAGACAGACTCTGAAGTAGGCTCCAGGCTCCAAGCTGTCAGCAGAGAGTCAGACACAGGGCTCAAACTCATGAACCATGAGACTATGACCTGAGCTGAAGTTGGACGTTTAGCCAACTTGGCCACTGGGGTGGCCCATGTTACATATTTATTTATTTGTTCATTTATTGTCTGTCTCCTCCATTAGAATGTAAACTCCATGAGAGTAGAGGACTTTACTGCTGGGTCCTCATTGG